TGTGTGTGTGTGTGTGTGTGTGTGTGTGTGTGTGTGTGTGTGTGTACATTCATGTGCACTTGTAGGTGTGTGTCCAGTTCGTCCCTTCCTGGCCTAGAGCCTGTCTGAAGCTGTGGGATCAGGAGGGAAGAGTAAGAGCTGTACTGTGGTTTCCTCTGTCTCCTCTTAGGAGCCTCAGAGGACATATGCACTTGGCTTCTCAGCCCTTCTCTTGCGTCCTCAACTGCCCTGGCCTTTGTCTGCTCCCTCCACTCTGCTCCCCCAGACTAGAGGCTCCTTCCCAGGCTTTCTTGGTGAGCACATGCAGGGCAGAGGTAGCACATCATTGTATGCCAGGAAACCTCCGGAGTGCTCAGAGAAAGCCCTGGAATCTCGGCCAGCTCCTGGTCCTGTTATAAAACATCATCTGACCCTTAGCCCAGCTCCTCCTCCCCCAAGTCAAGGTAGATGTCTTCAGAGAGGGGGTGGAGACAGCTATAAATACTTCTCTCAAGAGTGTCAGAACCTTGGCTTCAGCCCCTCAGAGTCCGTTCCAAGTTGAGCGCCTTTGAGAATGTCCTCCCCGCCCTGTGGTCCTAGAATAAGACGTGCGAAAAGGCCAGCCTGTCCACAGAAGGCCCCCTGTGCTTTCCTCATCCGTGTCGGGGTCTCTTGTCAGGTGCTAAGCCCCCGCAGCTGGAAGCATCAGGGTGCCCCCCACGCCCCATGCTAGCCTTTGTGTGGGTTCAGCTAAGCCATGGGAGGCTGGGGGTGGCGGGTGGGCTCAGCTCTGCCCTATCCCAGCCCCCAACCACGTGGAGATAGTGAAGGGTGGGGAAAGGCGTCCCGATTGACCTCCAGGGGGGTGGCGTGGGCAAGACCTGGGGTCTGGTTCAGATGCACGTTCACGTTTGCCCCAGAGTCACTCATTTCATGCCTAGTAAGCCTCGTGTCTAGTAAGCCCCATCGCGCCCTGCTCGAATGCCACCTGTCAGGGCAGCTCCTGTCCACAAGCTGCTGTTTTCAGGGGCACCCGGCACCGGGTGGAGGCCTCAGCCTCTCAACCGCTGCGGCCCTGACAGTTTATACGTCTGTGCTGGGGGAGGGCAGCCCAACGGCCTCTGGCACTGTCATCCTCACATGGGCCATGAACTAAGATGGGTTTTCACACCTTGAAATTTTTGGAGGGGGGAAAAAAAAAAACACCAAAGCAGGAGCCACATTTTGTGGTATGAAAAGTTACACGAGATTCAAATTCTGTCCACAAATAAGGTCTTTTCGGAATGTAGCCAGCCCGTTTCCAAACATCGGTGGCTGCTTTTGCGCTACAACAGTCACGTTGGGGAGTAGGTACAGAGCAGGCTCTGGGGGCCTAAGATGTTCACTGACTGGCCCTTCTGCTGACCCCGGACTCCTTACTCTCACTGCCATCTGGGGCTAGTGTCTGTGCTTTTCTTTTTTTTTTAATTTTTTTATTTTTTTTTTATTTAAAAAAAATTTTTTTTTTTCAACGTTTATTTATTTTTGGGACGGAGAGAGACAGAGCATGAACGGAGGAGGGGCAGAGAGAGAGGGAGACACAGAATCGGAAACAGGCTCCAGGCTCTGAGCCATCAGCCTGACGCGGGGCTCGAACTCACGGACCGCGAGATCGTGACCTGGCTGAAGTCGGACACTTAACCGACTGCGCCACCCAGGCGCCCCTGTCTGTGCTTTTCAAGGCTGTGCCTTTGAGCCTTTCCTTGCAGGGATCCAGAGCGTGTCAAACAAGGTGGAAAGACCCTGACCCCAAAGGGAGGGGCAGTGCTGGTGCCTTCTTTCCTATGACTGTGCCTATCCTGCTGGGCACCCAGGACACAGCAGTGAGCGGGAAGAGACTGGGGGGCTGACAGCGGTGGGGAGGGCCCAGGAATAGTCAGGGCGCGTCAGGGAGTGCAGGGGGGCAGGAGGGCTGGCCTGGACTGGTCAGCCGTGGAAGGCTGTTGTGAGGAGAAGACACACAAGTGCAGGTCGGAAGACGGAGAGGAGACTGGTGGGCAGGGATGTGGGAAGTTCAGATCTGGAGCCAGCCAGGGGGGCCGTGCTGGTGTAGAGCAGCGTGTGGGGGGGTGGGGGTGGGGTAGGGTGGTTAAACCTGAAGGTGTTTGATCTTCAGGTTTGAGAAGTAAAGTCTGGCTCTGGCCTCAGAGCCCAGGCCGGATAGGTGTGCTGGCCTGTGGCCCCTACAAACCAGGGATGAGGGCTCACTGGCCTGTGGACTCCAAATGACATCAGAGACATTCCCAGAGGAGAGGGGCCTGTGTGGCCCTTCTCTCCAGCTCTTTACACACAAGGATGCTTCCTCCTGCCTCTGATACGTTTCCCCCCCCCCCCCCCCACTTCACAGGGATGATTCTGCGGAGGTGGACGTATATAATCCCACAAAGAACGAGTGGGACAAGATCCCATCTATGAATCAGGTAAACATGCGGCTGTGTCGGCATTGGTAGCACAGGCTGGTCCTGTTTTCTGGCCAGAGTGTAGTCATGACATGTTTGGGAGATGGTCCTGGTGGGCAGGGCCCGTGCTGAGCCCTTTCCTGATGTTATTGCACTTAATAGAGGGCTGGGTTTTCCCTCGGTTTGTACTTCAGGGGCACTGAGATCTTAAATAAATCCCAGGGTTAGACAGTTTAGTGAGTTCATCCATTCGGACCAGCATTCGATGAGTACCTGCTATAAGCTAGAGAGCATAGGGAGAAGAATATTCCCCAGAGGGACAGCAAATGCAAAGGCCCTGGGGCAGAGTGTGCCTGGTATGGTCGCAGAACAAACCTCAGAGTCCAGGGTGGCTGGAGCAGAGTGAACAAGGGGACAGCGGAGGCAATGAAGTCAGACAGAAGGTCTTTGGGGATTGACCCTGGGGAATACAGTTATTTATTGAGTGCCTACTGTGTGCTCTGAACAAGACACTGCTACCACTATCTGATCAGGGTGTCTCCCCTCTGCTTGTCGAGAAGAGAGGTGCTGAGTCTGACCCTGTGATGGAGCTGGGAAGGCTCGGTGGCATTTGGCCACGTGAGCAATCTCCTTAGTCCTAGTAGTTGTATATCTTCTCAACATCTTTTTTCTTCCTTAAAGTTCCCAAACCTGCTCCCATGATACCTCTGCATGGCAATTGTCACAACTTACAACATCCCAGTTTAACATTTGCACTTAGCAGATGGGACTTCTCTTCTCCCCGTGATGACCTACACGTTACAGCAAATTTGGGCAAGAGGAGAACGTCCAGGGGTGTGGTTCAGAGCCCAGATGTGAGTCAAGTCCTGGCTCGGCCACCGTCAGCCACGTGAGGCACTGCTTTCGCACCTGTACGATGGGAGGACAGCCTGGCCCGCCCCAGGGCTGGTGCTGCTCACGGGGAGAGTCGCCGCTTCAGCAGCCTCCCGGCCACCGTAGGAACCAGGCACGGCGTGTGGCGCGCACCCCCCTCCCCCCCACCCCCGGCCCTGGTTCTGGAGCCGGGGTGGAGGAGGGCATTGGCCTGGCCTGGGGAGCATGCAGGGGGCCACTCTCATTTCTCCAGGAAGTGGCGAGGGTCCCAGGCACCTTCTCCATGGAGAGAGGCCATAGGGTTTCTGAGCTGGCCTGGCTGCCGGCCTCCACTTGCCTGTCTCCCTTGACCCGCAGGTGCACGTGGGGGGCAGCCTGGCCGTCCTTGGAGGGAAGCTCTACGTCTCAGGTGGTTACGACAATACGTTTGAACTCTCTGACGTGGTGGAGGCCTATGACCCAGAGACTCGGGCATGGAGCATAGTGGGACGGCTCCCGGAGCCCACCTTCTGGCACGGCAGCGTCAGCATCTTCCGCCAGTTCATGCCCCAGATGCCCTCTGGTGGGCGTGGCTTCGAGCTGGACAGTGGCAGCAGTGACATGGATGTGGCCCGACCCCGGCGGCCGCAGAACCCTGACGAGCTGCACTAGCCCTGGCCTGGCCCGGGGAGGGCCTCAGTGCAGGTAACACAGCATGTCTGGGGGCGGGGCAGTGAGCCCCTCCTTCGTGCACAAGGACGGGTTGGGTTCACCAGGTGGAGTTGGGCTCTTGGGTCGCCGAGTGAGCCTCAGGATGTGACCCCAGGAGAGCCTCTGTGCATTTAGAGCCGGACTCATAGCTGCTGGGAGCTGCCTCCCTGCCGGCACAGGGCTCTGGCTCTAGCAGGTGAACCCTCATGCTGCCTCTGCTTATGCCTACTTGCTCCCATGTCAGAGAGGACGGCCTCTGGTCGGGGACAAGTCCTCCCACGAGAGTCTGAGAGTGGTCCAGGCCTGCTTTCCTAGGCCCGCGGGCTCTGCTGGCCTGGAGCATCGGGAATCTGGCAGATGATGGCTGCAGTGGGGTCCCCAACTCCACGTCCGGTGCTGGACATCCCAGGGGCCAGCTCCCTGGATGGAGGCGGTCTGCCTGCCTGGCTCCTCACACCTGCTGGGATGTCCCACCAAAACGTGCCTCACAGGCGCAGGGCAGTGTGACTGGACGGGAGTGTGGCCTTGAAGTGGGCCCCAAGGGATGTGCTGAGTAAATCCTGTCTCCAGTGAATCTGGGTTGAGGCAAATGCTGAGTGCTCCATCCGCCTACCCCACCAGCTGGTGTTGCCACCTGACTTGGAGGCCTCCAGGACCGTCGTCCCAGGTGGATGCACGAGAGGGCAAAAGCCTGCAGGTGCAAGGTCGTGGCTCCTCCCTGGGAGGCCCTAGGAGTTTCTCATTGAAGCCCAGCCAGGCCGATGGTTGCGGATGCCATTCTCTCCCCTAGGGACAAAGAATCCTGCTGCTTCCAAAGGAAGCCCTGGACGGGGTGGCCCCCGTGATTGGCTGCAAGGTAAATGCAGTCTGGCCCTTCCTTAGAAGAAGGGTAGGGTGGCCAGGGACGCAGCCAGAAAAGAGTCTCTTACGGTGCCATTGCTGAAGGTCTCTGCAGGGCAGGGGGACAGCCACGCTCCTCCCAAGCCTGGGGCATCCCCGGGAGGGTGGCGTGAGGAGTTCCCAGGAAACTGCGGCTCAGGGGTCCCCGGTTCCCTGTTTTCTCTGGGGAGTGAATGGTCTGGTCTCCTCAAGGTCCCCAAGGATCCCTTGGCTGGATGTGTCTTTCTTCCAAAGAGGAGGATGCTTGCATTTCCCTCACTAGAAAGCTGGAAAGCAAATGTTTGTTGAGTTGCCTTTCCCAGTGAACCGCCTTGGAGATGTGTTCTTAGCAGGAGAAGAAAAGTTCTAGCTGTCGCTTCACAAACAACACTTTTTTAAACACTTTCTTTGGCCAGATGGCAAGGGTGGTTCTGGGGGAGGAAGTCTTGCGGCCTAAAGAGCTGTTGGCTGGGGCCCCCACCTTCTCTGCCATATGCCGTCACTGTCTGGTTAGACCTGTTGCAGGAGCGGCTCCGGTCCACAGCCAGCCCTTCCCATCCCCTCAACTGTCACTCACCGGGTCACTCCCGCACACCCACTGCGCCAGGCGCTGCCAGACAGCCGGCCGGGCGGTGGTCCTGCCTGGGGCTCCCCCGCCAGGTGGGCCTGGCCGTGGGATCCCTTGGGCCCCGGGGGACTCCTTCATGCCCCAGGTCCCACCTTCGCCCCTCCTGGCGTGCGTGTTCCCCCTCGGTCGGGACTTGCTGCCCCTGTCCCCCAGCGATGGTCTGACCTCACCTCCTCGGGACTGGTGCTGCCTCCTCCTGGCTCTGGTGCCTTCCCAGCAGGCTCACTCCGCAGGGGTTTTCCATGCCCTTTGGTCTCTGTAGGTAGAGGGTGTCCTGCCACAGTGGCTTGTCTCTCCTGTCAGTGGCAGCGGGGAGGGCAGGGCAGCGCTGCACAGGACCGAGGGAGCCCTGATGTGCACCAGGCACGGAGCTCTGCGCCAGCAGCTGCGGCCTGCCCGCTCGGTGTGGGGACAGGCCACGCAGATAGGTGTCACGATGCCTGCTGACAGGTCACCTGCAGCCACCCCCACCCCCCACCCCTCCCCGGAGCAAGAGTGCAGGCCTTGATCTCGTGGGGAAGGCTTTGGCGCCCTTCCTGAGGGCCGCCTCCGTGGAGGGTCCCTTTGGCAGCCGGAGAAGGTGGGGTGAGGAGGTGCCAAGGCTGCTGGAGCTCTCCCCACCTCCCTCCAGTGGGGCTGGGCTCTGGCAGGGTCAAGGACTTCCCGTGGTCAGCGACTTCCAGGGAGAGGTATCGTGTAACGTTTTTTTGTCGGGACGGGGCGCTGCAAACACGTTTTTCTGACAAAACCAGCCTCTGTGGACCGTACAGCAGGCCTGGTCTGGGCTGAGGGCTAGCGACCGCTCTGGCCTTCACCTGGCCTTCCCTGCAGACGCTCCCTTGTGGCAGGGGGCCCCGTGTCCTGGGTTCCTGCCCTTGGTTCTTCACCGTGACCAGCTGGGACACCACTGGCAGCTGTTGGTTGGCTGGTTCAGTGTGCACCCGTGACGTCCTCCTCCACGCTCGCTCTCTAGAACTACGCGGGTCTCCTCCACCCGGACCCCATCCTCTGTCGGGAGCACCAGGGCGGGGGAGGGGAAGCAGCAGCCTCAGCAGCAGCGGGTTCCTGCAGACCGCAGCCGGGGGTCCACGGTCAGGGACGGCCCTTCGGCAGCACCTGCTCCCCTGCCCAGCCCTCCCCGCTTCCCCCGGCGGGGGCTCTCGCCCGGGGACACCCCCCCCCCCCCCCCCCCCCCGTCCCCACTTTAGGAATGTCCATACACTGACCAGGGTCAGAGATGGGCCAGCTGGAGGTGGGACTGTGTTTGGATATACGGAACTTTTTAGTCTACGAGACAGTTTAAGTTATGAAAATTCAGTGACTCATATTTAATGCTGATTTGCTATAAAGTATTCTATATTTATATGACTTCAGAGACTCTTATGTGCTAAAGGACACGCGCCTTTCAGTGTCCCAGCTATCTAGTTCCAACCCCAGACGGTGGGGCAGATTTGCCTATTTATTTGTCCTATGGGCCTAGGTGTCCAGAATCCTGTTAAGAGATTTTAGGATGCCTTCGATGTATACTTTTTGAAATAAAACTATTTCCTATACACTCGGTGTCCTGGTCTTCATCCTGCCGCTGCTGTCTTGGAGACTTCAGGCAGAGGCGAGGCGGGGCAGCGGAGGGCTGCCCCCGTGCCCACAGAGGAAGAGGACAGACGGGGGTGCCCAGGGCTTGTGCGAACGGTCTTGGAGCAAAGCTTCTGAGGCCCTTTCTTGTCTCCGATCGTTACAAGGTGGCAAGTAGTGGGAAGCGGAGGCTGAGCCCAGGGCATGAGGAGCGCGGGAGTCCTAGCCCCACGTGCTGCCCCACGGCCAGTTTGGCCTCCCTGCCTCTACCCCTTCACCCGGTCCCCTGCCTCGCTCCCCCCACCTCCTGAAGGTGGGCTCTCTGGTGGTGAGGAGACCCCTGTCTGCAGGGGGTAAGCCTCGGACCTGGGGCGGGGAGTGGGCCCTTAAAGGAGGATCCTGGAAGAGGCCACGAAGTTCAGAAAGGTTCCTCGTGTATAACCCAAGGCATGGGCCGGTTTCTTTGTGGGGAACGGAGCATTTTGAGGCCATAGTTTATTTTTTAATAACCTCACTGAAATAGAGCTGAGGCAGTTCGTAGTCTGGGCATCGGCTGTTGTGCCTGGATATGGGCCTTACCTCTGAGCACCCCAGTGGTCGAGGAATACAAGGAAAGACGGTTAGATGGGTTCTGGGTGTAAAACAGATCGTTTCCTTCCTCAGACTCCAGGAGGAATTGGGCAGTGTGGAGCTCGTGTTTCAGGAGTCTTCCAGTGATAAGATTTAGGTGGTGCCCGACTTGAGCACTTGCTCGTGACTGTCACTGCCCCAATTCAGAGTTCACTCTGTGCCAGGCACTAAGCAGAGCACCTCTGCTGTGTGTCAGGCGGTTGTAGAATGTGTGTGCAGAGCTGGACACCCATCAGTGGGTGGGGCCTATATCCCCTGCCCTTGAACCTGGGCAGTGAGGTTCCGGTGTCTGCCTGGACCAGCACCACGTGGCAAAGAGGACACTGTGACTGGAGGGCTAGGTCATAAGGCCTCACGGCTCTGGCTGGAACATGGGTCCTTGGCACACAGCCACCATGCTGTGAGGAAGCCTGGGCGGCCTGTGGAGAGGGACCCAGGCCCACAGCCAGCACCGCCTTCCCAGGCACAGACACCCTCCCTCCCCCCAACCGTGCCCTCGCCAGCCTCCAGGGAAATCCTGGGGCGGCTTGCCATCTGGCGGGAGGTAACTGCGGGCCCTCTCACTGAATCCTTGTCTACAAAGCGGGTGCTATTACTAATTCCGTTGAAGAGGAGGACACGAAGGAGTCGCCTGCCTCGGGCAACAGGGCTGTCAGTGAAGAAGCTGAGGGGGAACGTGGGCGCCGGCACCCACACGCTTTTCCTGCAGGATGTGCACCCGGCCCTGCCGTCCCTGCAGAACCCGGGGACCAGCAAGGCCTCTTGTCATTCTAAACTTGGCCTTGCCGGCACCCCCGGCCACCTGCACCGGCAAAGCAAATGAGGACCCTCCCGAGGGAAGGATCCCGTCGGCCGTCATCTGCCAGCCAGGGTCCAGAGCCTGCTGACCACGAGCCCTACCTCAGGCTCCCCGCTGGGATCCGCAGCAGGCTGGCGGGGTAAGGTCATCGTCGGGGGCCCTGAATCCCATCCCCACTAGCTGGCAGCACCACAGCTGTGAAACAGCAATGCCATGGCTCCCAGTCCTAGAACCCTGACAGTGAGACAAGAGCACCCAGGCCAGGGCCTGGCCCCTAAAGACACTCGCCCAGGGTCTGCCTCTGCTGAGGTCTCCCAACAAGGTGGGGAAGCGGCTGGCCGAGCAGCACCCTGAGGCGCAGAGATGGCTGGGTGAGGCACCGTTTCTCCTAGAAGATTTGACGGGAAAGCAGCACACCCCGGACACCAGGTTACTGGGGAACAGACCGCCAGATAGGCTGAAACGATGGAGTCCCAAACCGTGTGATTTATTGGGGGCTGGGGCCAAGTGGGCTGTGGTGGCAGGGGTGCTACGTGTCACAGTCCTCAGGGATGGCTGCCGTGATGATGAGCGAGGGCTCCATGACCCCCGAGCTCACCAGGCTCTCCTCCGCACAGAGTCTCTGGCTGGGCAGCTGGGAGGTCAGGCCGCCCTGCGCCAGGGATGCCACGATGACCTCGGCCGAGCCCACCTCCAGCTCGGCGGGTGGCTGAAGTGCCACCACCACCATCTTCTCATCCTCAATGACCAGGTTCCGGAGTTTGCGCTGCCGCGGGTTATAGTTCTCCACCCGGTCGTGGATCTCCATGTGCCTCCGGAGGTGGGCCTGGGGGGCGAGGGGACTCAGGGCTGGGCAGGGAGGGGCCCGGGGTGGGGGGCAGGAGGAGGGACCCCGGCCGGCCCCAGGCCTACCTGCCGGGTGAACTTGTAGCCGCACTCGGTGCATTCGAACTTCCTGACGCCCTTGTGCCTTCGGACGTGCACGCGCAGCTGCTCCACGGCTGTGGGAGGGAGGGGACCCCGGTGTTGAGGGGAGGCAGGAAGTGGGCACCACGGTGCCCAGATGAGGGCGGTCCGGGGTCTGCAGCTGCTCCGAGGGCCCTGCCAGGCTCCAATGCCACCCTGAGGGTGCCACTGCACGAGACCCTCCAGGGCTCCCGCCCTGCCCTGTCACCGCAGCTCCAAGCTCCAGTCTTTAACGCACAGGGAGAAGAGATTCTCTGGTAGGAAGACTGGCACCAAGAAGGAGCGCGCGACAGCCACCGCCACGCCTGACCTCTCCCCGCGGACGCTCTCTGGCCCCGGTCAGCGGGATATGGCCCACCCTCCACCCCACGCAGGGCGTGCCTGGGGAAGGGTGAGCGCCAGGGGCCTCCCGCAGGCCCAGGTACCTTTGAAGGTCTTCCCACAGATCTGGCAGAAGTGGGGCCGGCCTTCCTGGTGGCGGCTGGCCACGTGCCTCAGCAGGGGCCCCTTCTCGGTGAAGCGCTGCTCGCAGAACTCACAGCCGAAGGGCCTCTCGCCAGTGTGAGTACGGTTGTGCTTGTCCAGGCTGGCTGTGGGGACAAGGCGGGGGCTCAGCCGCTGCGCCGCGGCCTGGGACGGGGAGAGGACAGGCCTGCCTCACCTTGGGTGCGGAAGGTCTTGCCGCAGAGGTGGCACTGGAAGGGCTTCTCGCCCGTGTGCGTACGCAGGTGCATGTTGAGATTAGCTTTCTGGGTGAAGGCGTGGCTGCAGAACTCACACACGTACGGCCTCTCATTCCTGTCCGGGGCAGAGGGCGGGGCAGGAGCATCACCACGGGAAGCAGCCCCCTTCACCCCGCGACAGCTGGGAGCACGGCTGGCCCCGGAGCCAGGGAAACCGGCCAGGCCGAGGCAAACCCGCTGAGCCGTGGGACCGGGCGCAGGCCGAGACCAGCCGTGCGGCACAAGGGCTCGGGCAGTGACGGGAGGGGCACCGGCGCCACCCCGGGAACCACAAAACTAAGAATCTGCCATCATGTTACCCTGAGATCCTCTCCCTCAGCCTTTCTGCCCGGCAAGCCTACTCCCCCCTCAGGCGCCCCCACCAAAGAGGCTACAGGCACCGGACTCGGGGTGGAGAACGCTCTGTCCCACGAGAGCATCACCTAGCTGCCTTCTGGACCCTCCACGCCGGCAGTAGGACCAGGCCCCGGGGAAGCCCGGCCAGCCCGCACCTGTGCTTGGCCTTGATGTGCATCTGCAGGCCGTTTCGGCTTGAGGCCCTGTGCCCACACTCCTCACACACAAACAGTTTCTCCCCTCGGTGCTTGAAGGCCTCGTGCAGCTGCAGTTCTGTTCGGGACAGGAAGCACTTGGCACAGGTGGGACACTGTGGGGCAGAGGGAGTGAGACCAGGCTGAGAACAGGGAGGGGTTCCCTGGCCCCCCGCACGACAGGAACCACACAGCCTGCCGGGTCTGACGCGGCTGTGGCCACCTCTCTACGGCCAGCTCCCAGTTCTCAGCACAGCCTGGCACTTACAGCGTGGGGCTTGGGGGCTCCGTGGAGTTTGATCAGGTGGCTCTGCAAGTCCTTCTTCTGCATGAACTGCTGGGAGCAGGAGGAGCACTGGAAAACAGGCCCGAGGTCACCTCGGAGGCCACCCACACCAATGGGATCCTGGCCACCCTTAGGCTATCGGGGCAGCAACCCACAGGCAGGGCCCAGCCCGAGACGACAGGAGGCTCCTTGGTGTGAAGGACGCTCCAGAGAGGACCCCCCCCCCCACCGTGCCGTGCCCACGGAGATGCCGAGCCTGCCCTCCACAGAAAGAAAAAGGACCCAGAGAGGGCCAGGGGCACTGCCTGAAGGGAGGGGACACTGGATGGGTCCAGAAGGCTGGGCGTCTTGACAGCTGGCGAGAGGGAGGTGCCTAACATCACCCCACGTACAGGGCTTGGCAAGAGGGATCTAGGGGCTGCCCCTCCGCCCACGGCCCCGGGGACAGGCCGAGCCTGACCTTGTAGGGCATCTCCCCCGTGTGGGACACCATGTGCACCCGCAGCTCCATCCTCCGGCGGAAGGTCTCCTGGCACACGGAGCACGTGAAGACCTGGCAGTGTGAGGGGCAAGCAGGGCCGGCATCAGGGGGGGGCCTCTGCCTGCGACGGCAGCCTCTGCCCGGGCTTCCACTCGCTGCTGGGAGGAGTCTGCCCGAGGGGGGGATCGCTAGGGTGGGAGAGGGCAACACGTGACCTGCCTGCCCTGACCCTGACCGTGGCTGAGCACTGCAAACCCACCCCACAGGCTGGGGGCAGGAGCCGGGAGACCTCACCCGCAGACCCCACACTGGCGACAGGCCTCTAGGAGGAGAGGGTGGGGTTCAGCCGGCCACGTCACGTGGGCCGGCCAGCAGGGTGGGGGCAGCAGCCCGTCCCCACCAAGGCGCCCCTTCTCCAGAGTCCAGGGACCCAAGCAGGCAAACTCAAAACGCTTTCCAAAAAGTCCCTCTGGGGCCGGTCCCTTCCGCCCTCGGGACCAGCGTCCCCACCTGTAATACCAGGAAGCGGACTCGATGGCATCCGCTGG